CCCGCTGGAGCTTCTCTACGCGAGCGTTAGAACGGCGGCGTCCCTGGTCGGGCTGCCTGGGACCTTCGCGGCCGCGTCCTGCCTGCGGGCGGCAGCCGGCCTGCCAGCAGCTGTCAGCAGCTGTCGGAAACTGGGCGCCTGTTCAGGCCGCAGGGACGTTTTAACGCCCAGCCGTTATAAACCAGCAACGGATGTTTCCCCTTCCCCACCGTTCTCATCTGCTGGTACTCGGCTGCCTTCAAAATACACGTTTCCTTTGTTTAAGGGTAAGGGTGCGCTTCGCAGTCTCTCGCCCATCCGTACGTACTCTGCTTTCCTGAGTAACGAGAACCTCTTGTCTGTAAGGAGAACGTGGGCTTGTCTCTACGCGACCAGTAGATTAATTTCTACTGTACTGCATTAAGCTGAACTCAGGCCCTCCAAGTGGCAAAGCACTACATGGCTATTTAATTCCATGCCTTATTTAGCAGAAGCATTACCTTGGAAGAAGTAAAAATAACAGTCTGTAATCAGTGAGAACATTGCATAATTTCAAAAGTTTTTACATCTAAAGTCTTTACTATCTTTTGCAGGCTGAAAGAATCATTAAATGTTTGTCTTTAGCAGCTTATTCTTGGATTTCATAACTGCGAATACTGGTTTTAATTAGTTCAGTATGGTAAGCAGCAGTAAGTTTTAAAAAAAAAAAAACCAACATACCTTGCCCACTTCACGATATTGCTGTAACTAGTTTGTAGATGCTAGTGTTTTTTTATTCGTTTCCTCTTTATTACCTCATCATCTACCGTGTTGCCTACGCTTTGTCAAGCACACAAAATTAAAATAAACAAGGGTCATTCCAAGATTAGGAAACATGCTTAGAATAACTTCTATTCGAGTACTAAGCAGAGAACCTTTGACATAGCCTGCTCCTCCTTCTGTAGTTATCCACTGAACTGCCTATGCACACCCTTTGACTTACTCATCTGATTTATGAACTATCCCGGTTTTAATTACTGGATTCCATACAATTGGGTCAATAGGTTTTCCAGTCACACCTGTACTTTGAAGTGTAGTGAAACAAGTCTGAATGAAACACTCTGTGTTGATAAACTGTGAACCACCAAGTTCTGTGCTTGTAACGTTCTGAGATTTTCCTTGGCAACACGTTGGTCATAAAGCTTTACATGATATAACTGTATTCACTGGAATAAAACTTAGTTTAGACAATTTCACTTAGACTACTATTAGTCAAAATAATTTTTCTATTATTTCTATTATGTGAATAATTTCTCACACAATCTAATGCAAGATTCTGAATGGTAAGGAACTGCACTTAGCACTTGTGCTTCAGTTGAGTTTTATTTCATTAAGTTCATATTTCAGATTTTAAGCAGCAGAAGTATATGAAATATATGAAATATATGAAGTATATGAAAAACACAGTTTAGCCATCAAAACCTATGTAAGCAGCATTCAATGGAGTGCTTTGTGTCATTGCTGTAGCTCTCATCCTTCATGGCACTATTCTCATCCTACTAATGTCAGAAGATACCATCCTAAAGTTACACTACAATAGTCTTCAAATTAGGAGTTCTCTTACTTGCTGCTGTAAGGTATTCTGCAATATTGTGTGCCTTTTTTTAAAGTAGGGTGGGGTTTCGTGAGTCAGCTGAGCCTACCTAAATTTCTGCTAAAAGGAACAGCTTTATTCACTCATTCAGGAAACTAAGGAGTCTTGAACTGACTCCTCATTTCTGCTTAATAAACTTGGCGTAAAACTAACCCAGCATTCAAGAAAATCTTTGCTACTTTATTAAGCTGAAATAGCCTGCTTGGGGCAGGGGGTGCAATGTCAAAAGCCCCACATTTGAGAGGAAGAAGACTGTGAGATCGTGTGGTGACAGCTATGAAGACAGCTCACTTACTCAGGACATTGCACTCCAAACAGTAGTAACTATATTGTCCCTATCAAAATGACTTAACATACAGGAGGATAATCAACCGCACAAGGAACAAGACAGGGAACAGGGTAGGTATTAGTTCTGGAAGTACAGGAGGGCAGAAATAGAGAATGCAACCATGAACCAACAGTGTTTATTGTTGCAGAAAAAAGGCAACTTGGCAAATATTCAAGAAGGGAAAGAATCTGTTGTATATGAATGACATTGATAAGGCACCACCTAAAGCACAGTATCTGTAGACACTGTAGAGACCAGCCAGAAAATATACAAATGAAAATTTAAAATATCAGGGTTGCTTCATATAACAAGTAGAAAACTGAAAGAAAGATTCTTTGTCTACCTTCCAATGAATTTATGATTGCTTGCACATCCGTAAGGGGTATTAAGCAGAGCAATAGTTTTCATATTCCTTTTTTCAACACCTAAGGCTCAGATGAAGCATATAACCTATTTTACTCATTTCCAAGGGTAAACGAAATATCTTGCATTAAGTTTTATGAATGATTTTTCATGTGGAGCTCTGTAAAATTACCGAGTTTATATATGCTACCTTGTTAAGATGAGGCAGACAGAAATAAGGATTTTTCAGATAAGGAGATAGGACAGTAACGCTTAGCATTTAACTCATTAACATCTACATTAGCATAGTAGAAATCAAATGCAATATTTTCTACATTTCTGTTTTAACTTATATATAACTTATATACAATAACTCCCTGTTTAACTCAGGGGGTTATTGACAGTTATTATTAACTCTGCACATTATCATTAAGTTACTAAAACATCCTGCTAATCAAATCACACAGTTATCTTCTTCACTATTGTACTCCTAATTCATATTCTCTCTTATCACCCGATTTCTTCTCAAAAAAGAATCCACGAACCAAAACAAATAGCCTTTCAGTTATCTAGGATTCAACAATTAGCAAAGCAACAGGTCATACTGCTTTAAAATTATTTTGTAGTTTGCACTAATGCTTTATTTGGAAGTGAATCGCAATGCCATTACACTATTCAATAGTCATGTAACTCGAGACGTAGTAGGAGTTAAGTGCTACTTGAATCACAGTAAGAGAGGGCAGAGGATTCTTTCCTTGTTGGAAGGAACAACAGGATTTCAAAACCTGACATGTTTTACACTGTTCATAACAGGTGGAATAGCTTAAAAATCAAATAATTTGTGTAAAATACATAAATGTCACGTTTTCCTGCTATTTACAGCTATCACTTCAGTAACCATTACTCGTTTTGAGAAGGCAGATCAAAATGTCTGTTAGTAGGAAACTCTTATTTCAGATACTCTTTTTCATTACATTCCTAATGCAGAACATACAGAGCATTTAAGTTAAATATAGGCCCAGACTCTCATTGAAACAAAAATTATGAGCAAGTTCTTTCCAGTGTTGGAAGAGACAAGAAGGATCACTGTGAGTTAGCAACTATAAGACCTCTTATCTTGGCTGTCAATCAGCAGCCAGAAGCTGAAAGACTGAATTCTTTCTGCTGGACTGATTTATTGCCTCCACAAAGTTTCTTGTTCCAGGCAAGACTGTTTAAGGCTGCTCCTTAAAGAGTTTTGCTTGGCATAATATAATAAGATTAGGACTTTCATAAACATGCTACTACTCAAGTCAAAGTTAGTCTGACATTTTATTTTCTAGTATACAAGATAGGGCATGAAGCTTTCAGGATCTTTTGACTTCAGAGAAAAAAAATATTCTGAAGGGTTTTTTTTCTCATTGCAAATCATCAGTAGTAACACAGGATTTTTTAGTGTTGTTAGTTTAAATCTAAACAGTGTGAGATACAGTGAATTTCTGGTCACATACCTTTTGAGAGTGTTTATTGAAATATTAACATAATCGATGTTCAAGAGGAGAATCCATGTAAGTGCTTTTCCAAAAGACGGTTGAGTATTCCTAATTGGGAGCAAATTGCAGTGGCATTACAGGACAGCAAAAAGGAATTCACGTACATTGAGGTCCCAGGGGATAGTTTTAGAGGAGAGTCTGAACACAACTGATTGCTCTCCATTAAGCAAGACCTTCACAAACACTGTTACAGATTTTCTCCAGGGGACTGAAAGTGTGCATCTCCTATATAATATACTTCATTAGAACTAAGTGAGAGTCACCATGTGGTTAGGATTCAAAATTTCAATCCAGTAGCCATCAGGATCCTGAACAAATGCAAGTCCTTTCATTTTACCTGTTAGGGAGGAAAAACAAACAAACAAACAAACAAACAAGATAAAGTTAAGACTATATGACTAGTTCTTAACATCAAATATGACTACTGTGAAAAGTATTTTTCCTTTTTTAACTTTTGCATGAAAATTAGTTCAAATTTAGACAGCTAATTCTGAAAACATCCAGATTAGTTTTTAATCAGCATTAGATCTTTGTATGCTGAATTGTCAATATTACTCTAAACAAAGCTGTAGTTTCAAGTCACTTTGGAATTCTATCTTTTATTGATTAAGTTTTCTGCATATGTCCCTGTAAGTGTTCATCCTCTAAATTCAGAATATATTTTTGTCCTCCAGGATGTTTTGACCTATTTTCTTGAACTAGCTTTGCCAGTATAAAATCCTGTGCTCCTCTGCCCTGTTCATCTCCCATCATTCCTGCCTCCACACTGAAGTTTTATGTTACTGATTTTGTTTGTTTGTTTTTCCCCCAGATGTGGTTTACAGTACACATTTGCATCACTTCATAAAACGGAGAAATGCAGGGCAGGAATATTTTAAATGTTACTGTTGGAAAAAATATTCCTCATTAAAACAGGGTCCCCAAAAGTTGCCTTAAACAATAGATTAGGATAGCACAGCTTAAAATGTTATCTTAAAGTGTTAACCACACACTTTTAATTATACTTGCTCTATTTATTAGGCTATTTACTGTAACAGAACCAACCTAATTCTTAATATATTCTAGTTACAGAAACTTCTGAGAGAATACTAGATATTTGACTCAGTAATGTAGGGGAAAAAAATAACGTTACGTCACTCAGCCTGCTCCACAAACAATGAATGTGAAGTTCAAGACTTCTTCCTCCTCCTTGGCATTTGCTGCATCGATTTTATTTCTTAATGTTAAAAAACAGCCTTTGCTCTCACCCCCACCCTTGACTGCTTCAAGAGTTCTTTCCTGTGATTTATTCCATTTACAGTCTAAGCTTCCCTCCCTGCCTAAGAACTTAGAGCTGTGCAGTGATACAGAATCAAAGTCAGGAGCTCTCACTTCAACTCCAACTTCAACTTCACCAGGTGCTGAACACATTAAAAAGGGCTCAGAAACTCTAAAGTGCTAGAAATACTAAGTTCAATTCTTAAATCAAGACATCTGTGTTCAGGTTAAGTTTTCAGCTGCACTTCTTGTATTTGTTTCAGCTGAGAATACAGTGAATAAGATGAAAATCACTTAAGTCTCTTTTCAATTACTTGTTCGTATTCCTCTAGCAAGGAATCTAGAAGATCAATTCCAATATGTGTAAGCTGAAGCTTCATGTACTAATGTTACTTTCAAACTTAAAAAAAAACAAAACAAAAACAAACACCGTCAGTACAGGCAACAGTCTAGTTTCTATAGCCAGAAGCAGTATCACAGATTTGTGCATGCTGCTGAGTATTCGATGTCTGTTTTCGAATCCATCAGTCCTAAAACTATCATGAGGTCTCTTCGTGAAAGAGAATCCAGTTGAAAAATGCAGGACTTCTCACCACTGATTTCTGCATTTTAGGCTATTTTGACATAGACATTGTTTGGTTATGTACTCTCTAGATATTTGAGCTACACATTATGCACTTTTTACTAAAAGTTACACAAGTCAAATATGATATAGGCTAATGAGGCTATTTCTACCAAAGCTGACAGAACAGTTAAAATGATAAAAGCTAGTAGGTGGCGTTAGGTGGATTTAAATAAAAATAGCCAGAAAAGTCAAGAATTACTCAGTTTTAATGGGTGGGAGTAATTATGTCTTCTGAATCATCTTATTTTCATATGATAAGAACGAAACAGATATGAAATGTGGGAATTTGATCCACGTTAAAGTAAATTCTGTAATAACTTTAGGCAGTAGTACACATAGTAAACTATGACATCAAAAGAGCACGTGAATTTTAGTGAAGGTCAGACTACATACATAAGGCACGTAGCTAGACTCATTAACTGTTGTTACCAAGATGGACCTATTGTCAGTTTTGCCCACTGTAAGAGGGTGCAGGGGTAACTGGTTCTAGCACCTTCTAAGCAGTGACAACTACTAGAAACGTATTACCCAGCTTCCCAGGAAGATCCACTAGGCAGAATACATTAAAAACAAGGAAAAATATTGACTTGCATTTCTGATCAAGACTTACCATCATCTGGTTTCTTCACAAATTTCACTCCTAGTTCTTCAAACCTCTTACAAGCTTTATTGACATCAGGGACAGCAATTCCAATGTGTCCTGTGCAACAAGGTAAAAAGAGTGAAGTACACTGTAAGTATTGCTGGGTGTTCCAGGAAAAAGTTTCTCAGCATTTCGTCTTCTCCAAAAAGTTTACATGCTGTAGTTCATGTAAGGTATAACTGTGTACAAGAAAAACATTGCTTCCAGAAAGAAGAGCATTTTGGGCATTAACATTATTCTCCTTCAGAAAGTTGGCTTTTTGATAACGCCTTTTAAAATAGGAGCTTTAGAGTTAAAATATCTCGTATTGTTTAGATGAGACTATTATCTAGAGTAGGAAAAAATAAGTTTTCAATCAAACTCTTTTATCTGTACTTCCTTTCTCGAAGCATGCCCGCATAACAGGATTTTGTTGCATTTCCTCAGTTCAACAGTACAAGGACTTTATCATTAATGCTCTATTTGTAGAGACTAACACTAACACTACGCACGGCCTGAGCTTACAAATCAATTCAGAAGCTTTAAATGTCAAGTGGCTAGATTGAGTATGAAACTTATTTCACGAGCCAGTGACCTTTCAAGCACTCAAAATATCAAATCGAGCCACACAAATACTCTCCTCAGTGCTACAGACAAACAGAATTCTCCTTCTAGCTTAAAATGGGTAACCACTGGATTATAAAATAGAAATCCGAATGTAAATCAGTCTAAACACCATGATAATTTGATACATGAGCAATTACTGTTCTTCATTCAGTAGTTACTATGAGCATGTGTTTGCTTGCCAAAGGATTAGATTCTTTAGAAAAAGTGTAAGTGGGGCTCATTACTCTGAAACATGTTTACCTATTTTCACCATCTTTCACAGCATACATGCTGGAAGAAGAGAGATAAAGGTTGAGATGCAAGTTCCTTTCTTTCCTAGTGCTAGTATGTTTTCTTCAAAGTAACCTACTAGAAGAGTCTTTTCAGCCATTACAAGTTTAAAATATTTTCTCTACTAGTTGTCATAAAAATAAAGCCTACAGTATATACTTACCCAATAACCTCTGCACAGAATTTATACAGATGTTTTATAAAAAACAGTTGAAACTCCATTTTTCCCCAATACACAAGAGAAAAAATGTAATCACAATAAACCAAAGCTTAAAAACTACAAACACAAAACTAAAGACCTACCAAATCCTCGGGGATCTGAATTGCCATTGTGATAAGACTGATTTTCATCATTTTCAGTGCCCCAGTTGCTGTAAGAAGTAATTGTTACATATTGAAGAAAAGCATTGAAATTAACAAATCCTAAATGTTCAGTTTCCTCAGGAGGATAGGTTGTTTATCCTAAGAAACCAGAGAATTTCAGCTGTGGGCTGCATTCATTAAACTATCAAGATTTTCCCTAGTCACCGGTCCTAGGGATAGTCTCGGGGCTAATCCAATCATGTTCACAGCCCCTCACTAGCATTCAGGTTCTACATTTGAATGAGTCAGAGACACTCCTGTCTCATTCAGATTAGCGAGAAGGTTGCGCTGCATGAGTCAGTTTATCTACCCATCACTGGGGATCAAACAGTGAGGGTAGCAGGTCCTGAAGCCAAGCAAGACAGTGGGGTATTTGGGAGATTCTTTCTGCACAATTACAATGATTAGTGGCATTAACCAAATTGTCCTGTTTATGGGAAGTGTATGTTTTGACTTAATACCTCTTTTGATTAGATTCCACAAGCAATATTTATCCATTATTAGGATGCTCTGGGGATCAAAAGGAAGTTCTAACCACATTGGGTTTTCCTAAATTCTGTGGCTTCCCTACGCACATGGCATGCATACTCAAAATACAGCAAGCATTATTTCGTGTGTGTCCACCGTTCACCTAGCAGTTTGAAAGAGCTCTGGAAAGAGAAATTAAGCTTGCCAAGTATCCAAGATCTCAACTGTACTTTAAGGGTATATGACAATGAAGATGTTTCCACAGTAATGATTAGATTTTTATTCAATCCAACAGGATTTACACTCGTCCACTTCTGTTTAATCACTGTTAGCTAAATGTCATCTCTCATTATATTAATACTTACTGTGTCAGTTCAAGTGTAGCTTTTCTAGAGAAGGTCCAAGCTGTTCTCTCAGTTTTGTCTTTTGGGATATTGTTTTTATCTTCATACGCCAGGAAATAGAGCGAGAACTTCATAGTAGGAAAGTCAAATTTTTGAAGCAGTCTAAATGGCAACAATTATTTTGAAATAGTAACTTAAAAGGGTCATCAGGTAGCTTGCAAATAAACCAAGATGCTTCCCCCACGGAGGAATCATTGCTGTGATTTTCTGTCTTTCTGACTGTAATGCACATCTTAAAATACGTACATTTCGGACTATCACATAGAAACATTCCAGAACAGATTACAAACCTACAAAAATGAGAAGAATCAGATGCTTAAAAGCCAAACTACCAGTAACTGAATAGCAAAGCCAGTACAAAGGCTCAAGTCTTAAGGTTGCCACTGTTACTTGTCCGTATTTCCTCAGGAAGATCTTTATCCACTTTAAAACATCACCAAGGAATAAAAAGATTTACTTTGAAACTTACTCGTTCTGGGGAGTTCACTGGCAGCAGACAAAGTTTAAGAACACAGCAGGATTAAAAACCAAACATACCTTTAGATTGAAATATTGTTATAATTTCAATAGCTAGGTATAATTATATAATCCATTTCAAATGTGGCAATCAACTAAAGACGACTTGAGGTGAGAAAAAGCTGCTTATAAAATTTATCCCTTTACTAGATGCAAGAAGTCACACACTTTCCTGTGAATACTTGATACGTCTCTATTTTCACCTAATTTCCAGAGATGGTGTGGCATACTTCAAACTATTTTAATGTAAGACGTTTAACCAGAACAAGTAGGCATGCAAAATAAATCCGATTTCCTTTTCGGCTTACTAGGTATTTAATTTTTATTTTCTCACACCCGCATCTTCACTAAAGTGGAAGTAGTTTATTTTACTTTATTCTGGACTCATTTCAAGATGTTTAAAAATATGCTAGAATTTTGTTTTAAAATAACTCATTTCAAATGCCAAGAATGTGCACAGAGCCATAGCATAAACACATTAGGCTACTGCAGGGCATCGGCCTCCCAACAGCCTTCTCCAAAAGACTGAGTGTGGACCTTGTCTCCAGCTTCCATTGCCTTGGTCTCCTCTGACCGGAGGTGGTCATAAGCCACCTCTGAGAACTAGCAGAAAACTTAATTTCAAGATTTATAGCAATGACTCCTGATTATAAGCACTGTCATAAAAGTTACCAGTTAGCTGCACGCTCAGTGAGGAGGAAGTAAGCAAGTTGTACACTGATAATTAATGACCTATTTAAGAAAAAAAGAAATTTCTAGTCAAGGCCAGTACTAGTTCATTTGCAGCTTAGGCATTAACCGTGCTGCAGGAGTTCTCAGAGTTTCCCAGACTGTCCAACTGGGCATCAGCTGATGGGCCAGCATTGTTCATGTAGTTAGACCAATTAGTATAATTACATCAAAATAACAAAAACTTTTCAGAAAAATAGCAGGAAAAAACAAACTTATTGTGGCATACAACTTCTACTCACGTCATTCCAAGAACCCTTGTATAAAAATCCAGTGACTTCTTAGGATCCTTTACTCTTAACATTGTCTGCTGCAACAAAAAATCCTGGGGGGGGAAAAAAGGTTTATTATTTATACATCAACCAGAATTTAATTACAGGTATTAACAAAGATGTCAGTTAATAATGAATCAAAAACTAGCAGGTTTAGAAGTAACAAATAGAGTACTACGGTAAGTGTAAATAAAACCTTTTGTCCTGATCCTACACGTACAGATTTGTGTTAAATAAATATGCCTTTGTAACATAATGTTTAAAACAAATAAACAATACCACCACTGGTATCACTCAATATATATTATCAGTGGTATCAAAAAAAGGGTATCATTATCTTTATTATTCTTTTATGGAGCTGTACTGCACATGAACCACTTTGCAAGCAAGCATACTAGGCACGTGAATATTTGATACTAGGCATCGCTGTAGACACCCAATTTAAATAAAGCTAAACTCCTGAAGTCATTACATTTATTATTTCATTGCACAGGTGTTGAATTTCTGTCAAGCTTGATGAGATCTTGGCAGCAAAACCGGCCTGCAATTCTGTAAGGGTGTTTTCCTCAAGCCACAGGGTAACCTTATATACCAAGGGCTAATGAACAACTAAGTGGATGAAAAGTGAAAGGCAGGATAGCCTTGACAGATGTATTAAAAAAAAAAAAGTGCAGAACAACTGAAATGCAATTGTAAGGTTTTCCTAATAAAAAATAAAAATGTTTGGGGTGTTTTGGGGGATTTGTTTTGCAACCCTGGCACGCGCTGGCCGAAGCGCCCCCGGAGCACCCGCTGGCTCCCCTCAGCTGCAGCCTGACCGACGCTCAGCGCCCCCGCACGGGCGCCGGCCCGGCCGAGCGCGGCGCGACAGGCCGCGGGACGGG